TTCACTCAGCTAGTTTTAAACTCAAAAATTTGAGCTGTGGCCAGTCTCAGAATTGGCACTTATGATGAGGTTATAGCCAGCAGTATTATATTAATTCAGTTTCTGTTTGGTTTTAATAAATTACTTTAAGCGTGTTGTTATTGTTGTTGTTGCTGTTGTTGTTGTTATTGTTGTTGTTTATTGTTGTTGTTGTTGTGATAATTTAAAAAGAAGTCCAGAGGGCTTAAGAATATGAGTTGGTAACAATTCTAAGAGATGTAGGATGCGACAGCGTCCTAAAACGTTTTACATTAGATTATTCTACTAGAATATCTTCATACAACTGTTCGACATACAAACCTTCCACAAAAACATGAAGAGTTTGGCCTACCTTTACGAAGATAGGGTTTTTTGTGTTTAAATGTTTGTTTCTACTACAATACTTCATTTACCAAATAATATTAAAATAAATTCTTTAATATAACACTAGAAAAAGCAACTGAATTCAATAATCTGAAGTTTAAATTCGTAAAAAAATAATTTAAATTAGGTGTCTAATTTATTGATCAGTTTTTTGGACCTTCGGTATTAGTATAGTTAGTTTCGGCTCTCTAAATTAAGTCCATCATCTCCGATTCTAAAAAACATACGTTTCTTTCCGAAATTCTATATAAATGACGATATATGCAATACATTTTTTTTAAGACAACAAGAAGATAAATTGCTTTCCCGCCGAATACAAATTCAGAATGATATTTTTTCTCTCCAAATAGCGGGAAAGTGCCATATTGGCTACAACCCATATTTCTTTTTATTACTTCACATGGCATTCCAAAACTTCCTTCGTCCTTATTTCGGGTGCTATTTCACGACTCACAACTTATCCTACATGATACACTTTCCCTCGAAATGGAAAAATTAATCAACAACACGTCACGTGAAAAAACGTTTGGTCTCGAAACTTTCTCGCTAAACGCCTATCTTTTTGTTGCCTCGACCCACTATGTCTTATTCCTTTAGAGTGTACGTCAGGTCTTCAAATTGTTTTTGCAAACAATCCAATCTAATGAGTTCTTTTGTCCAAGTGTTAGTCAGAGGTGGCTCGGGGAGTTGCGAGGTTCATAGGAACAAAAAACTGCAAATGAGATCGGTATACTGAAAGGGTCTGAAAACCGAGAAAATTAGATTTCAATTGGATAATTATGTCTCTTAAAAAAGTAAATACGGCCTTCAGTTATATCCTCAGGATCTTTTCTGTATACTCTAAGCAAAGTAGAAAGAGAACTAACAACAAGAATATGTATATTAACCCGGTATATTTAGAAAAATAAAATACATTTATTAAAAAAAAAATAAAAATTCAATATGTTCTTTAACATAATAAAATACTTAAAAGTTCAAAAATTTCTGTTCTGAAGAAGTTTTCAAAATTTTTTTTACGGTCTCTTCATAAAAAAATAGCCAATCAGCACTGGTAGTGCATTGATTGGAAACCTAATTCCTTTAATTGTTGCTATGACTCCCACAGTTAGTAAACATTATAATTTTTTGTAGGTTTTTTGTCACTGCATTCATCAATGTTACACTGCCTCTTCTTTATTTTTTTATTTTTGATGATAGTACCTGCCGGAAGGTCTTCTATCTCCCGTACGAGAAACGTGACCTTATAAACATATTTCTGTACCTCAGAGGTAAACTGTACTATCTCCATTTTTACGAAAATCGGATTTTTAGTGATACTTACATAACTTTTTACAAGGAATCAGAAAAAAATACTTTTAAAGTCAAATCCAGACAGAGTAACGAAAAAACCAAAGTCACAAAGTCATTGAGAGGTAAACTATATCAAACGGAAGTAGTATTTTTGGGCTGCTGTACTATCTCCATTAAAGGTGAAATTGGTATAAAACTGAAGATACTATCTCCATTACACGTCAAAATTCAAGATACTATCTCCATCAAAACAGCCCAACACTTTAAAACAGGAAATTATCTGTTTTCCCATTGTTTGCTTAGTCTTCTGTCGATTTTGTGATGGGAGGGTATGCTAAAAATGAGCTCTAGAACTGCAAAAATTTTTGCCAACTTAAAGGCGGCGGCGCTAGTTCAACAAAGGGAAGGTGACAACTTGGTACAAAACGGTAAGTAATTTTAAACTTTTTATTTTTCAGTAGCTATTTTCAGTAATTATTAAAAATATATCATTTAACAATATTATGTTAGCCCATAAGTAATTTACCATAATGTTAGTCCAGCAAAAAATCTGTTAGGTCACAGTATGCTATATTCTTTTCACAAAAGGTCCGTTCATTCAAATAGGTAATAAATAGTGCTTTGTTCTGGTTTTTGTCTTATTATAATCATAACTATCTTTAGTGGTTAACACCACCATTAAAAGCCTTCAATAAACGTTGTTTTTTGTAATTATGACTATCATGAACACTTTTTTTAAAGGGAAATTCCCATTATTCACTTCTTACATTGTTTGGTGGTTTTTTAAACTATGTTATAAAAGAGCAGTTTTGGCAGTATTCTAAGTAGTATTGTCCCTTCTAAAAGGATATTTCTTTTATACGTAACAGTACTTTGTTTTATTTTAGAATCTTCAGGTGTCTATTATGGTCCAAGTTTGCCGAAACATTATGATGATACCAGCATTTTGGTAGGGAACCTACAATCTCTCGTAGTCCTGTGTATGATTTTCAAAGTAAGTGGCGGATTTAAAATGGTGGAATATTCGATTTGTTTTAAACCTAAAATTTGGGTTGTTTGTAAGGTCGCTGGTTATAATTGATGCTTTATACCTTGAAATTTCAAAATGGCGAAAACGTTTTACCGAGTTATACCCGAGAATACCGGTCAAGGAGAAGCGACAGCTTGGTGTTTTCAGTGTACCGTTTTGTAACGCGCATGTGCGAAAATAAGTTGTATATCACTCAAAATTATGTTATCTGTCAAAGTCAGTCCAAGTTGTGTTTAGTACGTGAGCAATGTTAAGTGATATTTTTTGGTGTTTGTTTTCTGTAGTAATAAGATGAAGATTTTTACACACTTAGGTATTCTAATACAGATATAAAATGTGTCCAAAAAGTTATTAGAAAACTAAGATTTTTATCACATGCATAAATATTAAGTATAATGATTTAATCATTTTTGACATTTTATTTTTCATATGTAGGTATTGTATTTTGTGAAATAATAGTTTTTTCTTCTTTTCAATAAATTAAATAAACAATGAACTGCAAATTTTGTTTATTTTATTTTGAAATTATATTTAAAAAAATATAATAAATTCGCGTGTTTCAATTAGGATTGGCCAAAGTGGGAGAAATCCCTTTATTATGGCTAAATTGTAAGTTACAATTATGTCAATATAAAGATGTTTTGCCTATTCATATTTACATTTATTGAATGAATCATACGTTGATTTTGGAAATATTGGTGCACACTTAAATAAGTACTATTTCTAAAAATTCGTCTATGCACACATAGTCCAATGGACGTCCACTTTAGATCTATTTGAGGGTCAGGACGTCCATATCCGGGTATCCAGCGTACGTCCGTTAATGCTAATTAAATTGACAGCTGAATATCGATACCCAGAGAACGTCTGTTTTTGAACTTAATTTTAAGTTTAGTAGTATTTTGACGTCCAGTGGACGTCCATCTTAGGTCATTATTTATTAAGCCTACCAAATAATACCCATTTATATATACTTCTTTTTTTAATATAACTGGTCATTAAAAATTGACAAATTGAATCTATTGCATTTCATTCTATCAGCGGAAGTTTGAAATCTTATTCAATTATAACTGTATCTAGTAAAAAGTTTTTAAGTGGTTCCTTGGTCGAGCTTGTCTAGCGATTGAAAGCCTAAAACGATAATGAATGTGTCATGAGTTTGATTCCTGCTCAGGTCAAGCGATTTTTAATAAAAAATAAATAAATGGTGTATAGCGGTTTGCGAAAATAATAAACAATATATTAATAATATAAAATAGTGTGTGGTGAGTTGCGGTTCTGTAAAAAAAGTGGGGATGTGGCCTCAATGGAAATATAATCCTGGACGTTTTTTGAATGTACAGTATTCGACTTCCAAATATATTCTAGAATTGAACGTCCTCTGAATGGTCAAAAGTGTGCCATTTGTATACTTCACTGGACGTTCATTGGATGTCGGAAGTCCAGAAAACTCATTTTTTGGCGTCTAGACATCCAAAATTGTATATCGAATGGAGTCCAATGGACATATTTGTATTGTCTGGGTGATAGCAAGGCCAGGTATTTAACTCTAAATACATAAACCTTAAATGACATCTGGTTTAACTTGGCGAAAAAACACTTGTTTCTACAGAAATGAGTGATAAACTTAAAAGTTCTTTTAATATAATATAAATTTAGAAATTCTAAAAATATGTAAGTACTTTTTAAACCTAAAAGCTTTGAACATATATGAACATTGCAAATATTTTGTTAAACCTCTCAAACTTAATGTCTTTTTAATTGTTACCTAAATTTTTTTGGCACTCTTAATTTTATTTACCTTATTTTTACTTAAGGAAAAGGTAATTTAAATGTGGGGCTTTTATTACATTTTTTATAATAAATAAACCAAATATTGAACAAATTTTATAGATAAATTATAAAATAATAAACTTCTTTTACTTTTATAACAAATAATTAATTATTACATAATGAATTATATTTTGGTGCCGAAATTTTACCATTGCTATTACTTTAATGTAATTAAATCACATTGCAACATTTGCGCATGGACTATAACAATAATTTCTGATAATTTGTCAAAATATTTCGCTCAGTGTAGAAAATAAGCATGTTTTCTCAGCGTGCTAAGTTGTGTATCAATCAAAGTCATCCGATATCAAAGGCACCGACAGCTACTGTCGCTTCTCCTTGATCGGTATTCTCGGGTTATACTATATAATAAAAATATTTGTGCTTTAAAAGTGTTCTAGAAGTACTGATTTAATTTGTAGGATTTTGGAATTTTTTGTTGCAGGTGTAGACGAAGTAAATCAGAAGCTACCTGCAAAAGAGGTTCCTACCGTTAAACATTTTTCTTACGATGATGACAACAAGCAATCTGAAAGTGAACAGGAAAGAAAACAAGTTCCGACAACATCGACTGAAAATTTCATTAACGAGAAAGACTTTGATCTGTTAGTCAATTCAGATGATAACCAAAAAGATCTGAATTATAACAACACAGAAAGTAATGGGCACAACAACGTCACTAGCGATAATGAAAGCAGTGATAATTCTAAATAAAACCCTGTTTTGAATAATAAAGTAAATACAGTGGAAGAAAAAGTGTTCGTAGACCAAGTAGGAAACGTCAGAGGAATCCTGACAGCTGGAAATGCATCATAACGAAACGGAAATATAATTCTGGACAAGAATACATTTCCAAAAATAAAACTTTAATTCAGCCCAAGACCCTGGGTCCTCCATGTAGTGACGCATGCAGATTTAAATGTTCCCTAAACAACGTCGGAACAACGACGAAATATTTTTAAAACATTTTGGTTGCCATCCAAGTCAATTGAACTTAAAAGGCCGTTCGTGGCTTCCAGCGTTCATTTGATCCAAATCAAAAGAAGGCGTCCAAAAACAGGAGAAAGGAAAAACCAAAATCAGTGTAACAGAAAATTAAGTTTTAGCATTGACAGTGTTCAAACGGAATTATGCAAGGTATTTTTTTAAATACGCTGTCAATCTACCAGACTTTTGTTACAACAGCTTTGTCAAAAAAACTGGAATGTGGAATGATGCAAGGAGATCAACGTGGCAAGAAAAATCCACCAATTAAAATATCAGCCCACATAAAAGATACCATAAGAAGTCCCGTATAAAAATTTCCCACAGTTCAATTACACTGCAGCAGAGAACGCTCATCTAAAAAATATCTGGATAGCAATTTACCAATTTCCAAGATGTAATGTTCCTGAAAATGAAATCACTAAGGCTTGGCTGTATTCTGAGATATTTAATAATTAATTTAACTACTCTTTTAAACTCCTGGATAATGATACATGCGACAACTGTGATGAATTTCTAATAACGTTAAAGGATTCTTCTGGGGAAGAAAGGCAACGAATTTAAGAGAAATATGATCAGCACTTTGAAGAAGCGTTAAAAGGTATGACCTGAAAAACAAAGATAAAATAAATTCTCAAAGTAGCACAAATAAAAAGTGCCTGACGGTAGATCTGCCTTGACAAATGCCCAAAGTTTTTATTCTTTAAAACTGTGGACCTTCAATTATACAATTAGAGACACCACTAAGAACATTACTGCATATTGTATGTGGAATGAAAGTGTGGCAGGGAGAGGTGGCAATGAAATCGCCTCATATTTGATGAAATATTTGGTAACCAACTTTGAAAAATCAACGGAGAAGTAACAATTTGGTCCGATAATATAATTGTTGATTACAGAATCAGAACATTAATGCAATTTTGGCTTACGCCACACTTATAACACTAATTCCAACTTTGAAGGTAATAAATCATAAATACCTGCTAAGAGGGCATACTCACCTTGAAGTTGACAGCGATCATTCGCTTATAGAGAGGGCCAAAAAAAGATGCCTAAATTCCAGATTATGACGCCGTGATATTGGCAATAACTTGTGAGACTGGCCAGTACAAGATTTAACATGTGGTTAACATGAATAAATAGATTTTAAAGATATCTTGTCTTTAATTAACGGTACTAACGCATTACTTATTCAAAGGAAAAAATACGAAAACGGAAAAGAATTCAAAATTTCACAGGTTGTTCACCTGCAAGTTCGGTCTAAACAACCAGGCAAAGTTTCACGGTTTCTACCAAAATCTTCCTCTTAATAATAATATTCCGGATGATAAAGATTAGTATTAGGCTAGGTTACTAAGACCTTATTCATATTTTTTTTATTATACTTCCATTTTATTATTGAAAAGAGTTCTTAAACTTTGATCTGTGGTAGGTTCACCAAATTTTTGTTTTATTATGTTATGTTGAGACTGCGACCTAAAAGATCTATTGTGCCCCCTTCTGTCGCCACTGCACTAAGGAAATGTCTCAATGCCTATAGCGACCCTTCCAATCCTATTTTCTCAAGGAAGTGTAGGATTTGAAGTGGCTTCAAGTTAGGTAAGTCTCCCTTTTCTATTTTATATCCTCCTAGATATAGTGCACTTGGATTCTGGAGTGCTACACATTCAGGTAGGATGTAAATGGAGGTTTAGTCTTCCTCCTCACAGAATCTGCACTCACTATCCTCTACTACTCTCAGTTTACTTAGGTGTCCTTTTAGTCGGCAATGCCCGGTAAGGATCCCTGTTACAATACGTAGCCTGTTCTTGCTCAGGCAGATGCAGGCTTCCGATCTTTTTTTGGTTATATTCACCCAGAAGTATTTTGGCCTGTCTCAGCCCTAAGAGATTGTTCCAATTATCGGTTCTTCTACTACCCAATTCTTTTTTAATCTCTCCTAATATTATGTTACTGCTGATACCACCGCAGAACGGCTCAGGTCCTACAAAGGGTGTTTGAGCCCCTTTCCTTGCAAGACTATCTGCAATCTCGTTACCCTGTACCCCGTTATGTCCCGGGACATAAGTGAGAGTAACTCTATTTTTCTCGCCTAGCTTATTCAATTGTTCTAGGTATCTCCAGACCATTTTTGAGCTGATTACGTAAAAATTCGGCGCTATGATGGCTGCTTGACTATCAGACATTATCGGACATGCTTGTCTATGATAGTTTCTCTCGATGTTAAACTGGATACACTTCTCGATGGCGTGAATTTCCGCCTTTTTGTTTTATTACTGAATGCAAAACTACCAGTAAGTAGTGAAATTATAACTTTACTATAGTTGTAATAGCTCATAATTTATGTTCGTTTTGTTTCAATACCTTGTAAACCTAAGCTTAGAATAAAAAAAATATAAATTTAATCAGATAAAAAATACTAACACCCGTATGCACAGTCGATCGTCAGCGATTCGCCAGAGATTCATTCCGGCGTATCGACAGCGATTCGTTGGCGATCTGCTGGCGAAAGCCCGAAAAGGTGTAAAAGGTGTAAAGTCCACTAAAACCAAAAATATAAAAAAATATTTTTTGTTGGTTTTTAGCATTTTGTTTCTTATACTAAGATGTTCATTTGTTCCAGTTTTTAAGAAAAACAAACAATAATTAACAAATAATCTTCATTTTGGTCACAAGTAAAACTTTACGCTTTCCTATAAAATTTGCTAAATGGTGCTTAGTACAGTTTACCTCTGGGGTACAGATTTATTAATACGCTATCAATATAATTAATTATTTCATTTCATTAACGATTTTTTATTACCTTTTAGGTCTATCTGATCTGGCAATTGCGATTTATTAAGTTCATTGTTAATCCTCTAGGAGCAAAGCGATCAGCCTACCATTATAAATTGATAATATGCTTCTAAATTTGCCTACTGTTCTAAAGAAGTTAATAATAAGGCCCATTTGTAGTCGTTCTAAAAAATACGGTTATTGACCTATGTCTTGAGTAGATTAGTAGGGCTATGATAAACGAACGCCTCTATTTACTCTTGGCAGTTAGGCGGTAATTTTCCGATCATGATTTGGACGAATGAACGCAAGGAGAAGGACTCTTACCAATATGAGTGAAATAATATATCCTTTAACTACGACCAAAACGGTTCTATTGTGGTTCATGCTTAAGTTATAATGTACCGCATACACTAGAAAAATAATAAATTAGTTAGGTGAGACGTTTAAAATCAGTAGATTCCAGTCGGGTAAAAAGCGTAACTCTTCCAAAGCGAAACAGTTATATAAGATGTGTTTTGCAGATTCCCCTTCGATGCTTCAGAATCGACAGTTCGTGTTTATTGCAGACCTACCCTTTTCACGTGGTTACTTAAATGACAGTATCCTATCATGAGTCTTGTAAGAAGGCGTGGATTATTCCTACTCTATTCCCGGATTTGAGCAGAGTTGTTCATTAAAGGATTGGGATTAAAGGCCTTCAGTGAGTTAACCCAGGGGTATCTCTCAAGTACATTAATGCTTTACCCTCTCCCAAGTTTATGATATATTTTTTTCTATTGCTCTTTACAATATCAAGGAACGCAGTTTCTCTTTTAAAGTGCGCGTCGGCTTTGTCATTGTCCTCTCCACACCGCTGTGCCAAGAAACTTACATTAAAGAATCTTTGTTCGAGGCACCGGGATATTTTAGGGTATGTAAATAGTTTCAAACCCGCTTTAAGACATGGGACTATCTTTTGACCTTCTAAGACTGCGAAAGAAGCAAATATGGCGGAGTTTACTATATTGTTTTAATAGAAGTTAAAGTTTTACTGGTTACAAGAAATTTCTTTATCAAATTGTTACAAAAAATAAGTGATAGGAATATAAAATATTAATTTATAAAACAAGAGAATATGAAGGCTATATCGCAAGAAGACGAAGTTTGACCACTACGTCGAATGCGGAGTATTCAATCGTCTGAGTACGGTACGGACAATCTACACTATATTACATTACATTTTTTCTGCGCTACTAAACAAAATTAATTTAGAGGTTATGTACATTTCTTCTTCTTGTTTTAGTTTAATGACCTCCACCCTAACGGTATTTAGTCAGCGCAGTTAAATTAGCTTATATAATAAGTATACTTGTCTTAATCTAGGCATTAAAGCACCCTCAAAACTTGATAAAATCAAAATGTTAATACATTTATAATAATACCATTTATATTCATCAAATTTAAAAATATTATTACACTATTCTTAATAGCAAGTAACTAATCACATTAAGACAAAATTCACTTTTCGATGATCATTCTTATTAAAGATTTTTACAAAAAACACATATACACTTGCCTCCCAATTCTGAGACCGCTATTTTAATGTTGACAAAAATAGGTGAGTTCGGGCTACGCACTCTATTCACTATATTCACTCCTAAAGTACCTAAGGCGTTCGGGAACGGAAGGAGTTAAAATAAAAGTTTCTTTTTGACCGTTCGGAGATCGTGGAGTGGAGTATGGATCGGGCATGCGCATAAGGTGATTTAAATCGATAATAAGATAATTGTGACTAATTCTTAAGTGAAAATGCTTTTTATTTGGTTCCCGTGCATACCATTATTATGGAAGAAACTTATACGGTTGTAACTGATAAGTACAATTAGGTATTAGTATGTCACATTGATAACTGACATTGAACTCTGAGAGTAAAAGGAGTAAAACCATATGCGCACTCCGTCTACGCCTATTTG